CTATTCTGAGTCTCCTGTATTTTCACTGTGAAATGATATCAGTGTTTCTCCCAATGACAAGCATAAAACATTCTAATTCAGATGTCAATGTCCATGAGTAAATCTGTATTGGAACACAGGCTGCGTATTCCTTCTTGTTTTATCTGTAGTGGCTTTTTTTTTTTAAGGCAGGAACTGAGAGAGTAGTGGCAAAAGAAACCTTACAACCCTCAGAGCCTCAAGACATATTGTTTTGTCCTTCAGAGACAAGGTTTGCTGGCTCCTGGAATAGAACCTGCTCTCTGGCCTACCAACTGCCGTCACAGACCTAGAATTCTGACCTCACACACAGTGCACAGCTGTGCTCTCCCATCTTTAGATGTACATAACATCCACCAAGCATTGCATCTATATCTTCTGGCATGAGGTGGTGGTGTGGTGATAATTCTCCATGTGGCTGTGGACTGATAGACCAGGATATCCAAGGCACTACAGGGAATTGAAATAACTATTTTCCCCAGAGTGTATCTTTCGTTTCCCTTGTGCAAACGCACGTGCTGTTTGCAAAGTCCTAACAATTCTAGTCATAATGGAAAGGAATCTCACCCATTTTATTGCCATAGTTACAGAGATTGCAAGTTTAGATGCTGTATTAGCAGTAAGTGCACGGTAATAATAGAAGTCAGGGAGGAGGGAACGAAAAGGCTCCTGTTTCTCCCTACAGCATCCTTCAGGGCAAATATACCAGAGACAGTTTGCATTAAATTGCAAAGTTAGCAATTTTCTTAAAAAAAAAAAAAGAAAAAGAAAAAGAAAAAGTCCAAATAATTGCTTTAAAATCTCTTGTCTTCCCCTGACTGGTTAACCCTCATGCAGCCCACCTCATCCTGAAACAATGAAAAGGAGGTTAAAAGAAAAATAAGTGGCCAGGGTTACTATGGAAACCAAAGTAGAAGGCAAGTGAAAGTCAATTTAAGGTTTAAATGCATATGAAGTAGACGTACATGTGTGGACATATTTGCATATAGATATCCATCTCCCCTCCTCTGTGCTCTCCATAGCATTCTTCCTTCCAGATCCACCTAAGGACTCTTCCTTCCAGAGAAATTGTCCTGACAATTAGAATCCCCACTAATCTCTGCATTCTAGAACTCTATTTGAATTGCTGTCTGGACACAGGATTTGAGCTCTTAATAAACACTTCCCTGGTAAGGAAATGCCCGGTCCTCTGAGGCAGTTGAATACTGCATGCTATCTTATCCCTTTCTTCTTGCCGTGTATACCACCATTACTGTGCTTGCTCCCTTGGCCTGGGGAACTCCTCTGAGGTCTCAAGTCTTTATGTAGATAGCAATTCATATATAATATTTTCTCAAGCATTTTATGTCTCATGTCCGGTGAGGGATGTCTCCTCGGTAGTCAAATAGTCCATCCTATGTCTCATCACACTGAGTTGTGATTGAAGCTTACACCACACTTCACCCCTCTCCAATATCTACAGACAGACACGAACTGTATTTTACTTTGTGTACCCTTACTGCTACTGAATAAATATGAGAATAAGTCATTCAAATCATATAACTTAGGTCAAAACACCCATTTCCATGGACCAAGGTAGATGTTATTATTATAGCTTCTAATTATTAAGATTATCTTCACATATACAAGGTACAATTCTCCCCTGTATATTCTAAGAAACTGAAAAATATAAGATAGGTGGAGAAAAGAAAGAGAAAGGGGGCTGGAATTGTAAAAACCTTATCTTAGGAAAAATAGTTCAAAGAACCTGGCACTCCGGCACAGGAAAAATTGGTTAAATAAAGTTCCATTAAATTCACTTCTTAGAAGAGACTCATCCTACAGAGCCTTTGCAATGAGGCAAGTGCAGGAATAGTGACATATGAAAGTTACAGAGTGGTCTGGGTTTCATACACAAAATCATACAGAGATTGAGAGCTGCTCGAAATTAGAAAAGACTATTGTGTGGAATACTGAATCTCCCAGCACAGAGAGCATTTAGATCATCATGGCATGCTCATGACCTAAGGACATCAGGGAATGAAATGCATGGTGTCTATTTAACAAATTGCAATGAGGAAACTATGGTTTGATTTGATGGAGATAGTAGAAGCTAGAGGTGACCAGGAATAAATAGGTGTGAGTTAGAGAAGCTAGAACATAGCTTAGAGAACGCGCGTCAGATAACTGTGTTTTGCAAAAATAATATCTCTTCACGAATGGATGGCAGGGAAAGGACTTAAGGTAGAAAGTAACATGACCATTGATACACTCTTGGAAGATGACTCTTTGGGCTCTGAATAAAAAAGAACGGGAGGAGTTTCAGGCCTGAAATACACTATGTAGCTGTCGGGATAACCGGAAACAGGCCTGAATGATGTCAAGGGCAAAGGAATGAAAAGGGTCAGGGTGGGAATACCAAGGGCATGATATCAAAGCAGAAAAACAGGTTGTATCAGCCTGTCCTTCCAAGCATGTTCCCTTCACTGTAGCTGTGTGCCACCCCTACGTATGCCCTCCTGGAAAACAGGCCAGCCGTCTTTCATCACTAGCGCAAACTCAGACTGTCACTGGGCTGGGAAGGTTGCAGTCACCTTGAGTGGATTCCCCACACAGCTCAGCAAGAGGCAGAGCCTGTCCTCTGCTGCTCTGTCAGCTCTGCTTTGCATCAAGACTGCTTTGTATGTCACCAAGTTATTAAAGTTGCGGATTGCAGTGCTGTGTCAGGCATTGTAGTGCTGAAACTGGGTCAGCAAGGGCTGTCTCTCAGGCAAGGTGTGGATTCCCGGTGTTCCCACACACCAGTGCTGACTGCAAAGATAACTTCTCTGCCTCTTCCCAGACAGTATAGAGAGGATGGCGTGGCAACCCACACCTTGGCCTTTCTATTTAGCAACTCTGATGGTAAATAATGCCCTACATGAAGATCTGAAAGGAGTTCTTTTATCCTCCCCTATCACTCATTTAGTTCACAGCAAGCAAGGGCAGGCTGTTTCAAGCCTCTTTTGAATCCTTCCTCTTCACAGATAGAAAGACTCTAGGAATTGCAGAATCAGCTGTTTCAGATCTTGAGTGTTCGAGTTTTCCTTATGCTGCTCCAGGCAGCCCAGGGGCAAAGAGGCAGAGGCAGTTACAAAGACAAACATGGTCAAGCAGAATGGCAGTGCATAAGGACAAAGCATCAAATCCTCCCCATAGCAGACATGGTTAAAAAGCACATGGTGTGTATGTATTACAGCCCACAGTTTCAGAGGCAGAAGAGGGAAGAAGATGCTCAAGCCCTGACCTCAATTCTGCCTCAATTCCACCTAACACATGGGGAAACAGCATCTGCTATGCAAAAGTTAGGGAATATACTCAAGAAAAACCAGCATGACAAAGATCCCTGTCCTTGTGAAGTTTATTTTCTAGCAGAAGTAAGCTATAAATCATAAACATAGTAAATTCTTAAATAGCATAAATCACATGGTGTAGTACAGAAACATTCATTATAATCTGTGGGAAAGTTACATGTTGAAAATCTACAGGACAACAAAGGAGAATGAAGTGAGAAAGACAGGGAGAGAGGAGGAGAGAAAATGCAGAATCAAACAAAAGGATGAAACGGCCGGGCGGTGGTGGCACACACCTTTAATCCCAGCACTCAGGAGGCAGTGGCAGGCGGAACTCTGTGAGTTCGAGGCCAGCCTGGGCTACCGAGTGAGTTCCAGGACAGGCACCAAAACTACACAGAAATACCCTGTCTTGAAAAACTAAAAAAAAACAAAAAAACAACAACAACAACAAAAAAAAAAAACAAAAAAACAAAAAAACATTGGGAAGAAAAATGCTAAGGGTCTGGGTTGTTATATTTTTTTAAAGTCTGGTGAGGATAGACTATTAAATAGATAAATGATTAAATAGAAAAGGGAAGCAGATACTAGAGTTAAATAAATGGGTAATCCAAGGGAGTGTGTTCCACAGAGAAGGAAGAGTCCCACAGGCCCAGTAGGAGGATAGAGACACTGGAATACATAGGCAATAGGAATAACAGGAGAAAATGAAGTTAATATGAAACCAGAAAGAGCTCTGTAGATCCGTATGACAACTTCAGCAAGAGTCATATGTGGAGCCTTTGTCATGACTCTCAAAAAATTATATGTTTTTATCTAGAAAGACTATTCCAGAACAGTGACTCAATCAGGTATGATTTTTCTTTTTCAGTGGGGTACTTGGAAATGTACAAAGGTATTTTGGCTATTAAAAGTGGGGCTGGTGTGTTGCTAGGCTCTAGTGAACAGGATGTAGGAACTCCCTTGAATACCTTACAGTGAGCAGAACAGCCCTTCACAGCACAGGGTAACACCAGTGAAAATGTCAACTGTGCTGAACTTGAGTTTCTAGTTCAAACAGAAAATCAGACTTCCTTTGGGTGCTAGTATCATGTTCTCTTAGTAAAATGCACCACCATTTTTAGGATACACAAGCAGGAAAACCTATGCATCCAGTGTAGTAGACAAAGTGCCACGATACCTTCAAAGAGCCATAACATGTATATGTTTTTATGTTAAAGAATAATTTATGATTGATGCTGTATCATATTGTATTACTCTTTATACTAAAAATACAGTATTTTTAATTTTTTATTTTGATGATTTTGATACAGGGCCCTACTATGCAACTCAGACTATTGTCAAACTTCTTATGTAGCCTGGACTAGCCTGGACTGGCTTTGAATTCATTATCTTTTGGTCTCTTGTCCAACTCCAGGTAGAAGTATGCACTGCAGGATCTATCCCAGAGGTGGAAATTTGAGGAGCCTCTTAGGGACCACTGTGAAGATTTCATTATTGAGTCTCACATTTGGGTTATAACAGCTTCCTCAAATGGAGAGAATGAAATTGGATGAAAAATAAGCCAAAATTTCTCATTCGCTACTTTGTAATTCTGCAAAACTTTACAGCTTTTGGAGCTCTTTAACACAGCATCTTCCTTAACCTTTGTATTACCTTTGTGAATAACAGAGAAAGGCATTCTTATCACACCTATTTCTGATATGCAAGAATGGAGGCTGGGGATCCACATGACTTGTGACAGAGTTAATAAAAGGTAAGAGTCACAAAACAGAATTCTGAGCCCTTCACTTCTCTTTCAGGACTGTCCTTCAAGCCATCACTATGTATTATTCTCAGTATGCCACATGGCAACCTATAGAAAGTTTGCATTAAAATGCTTATTAAATGAGTATTTTAATAAATCTCTTAGTGAACAGAACACCATTATTGTAGGCACTAAGAACAACAATTAATAAATAAGACCTCATGAAACTGAAAAGTTACTGTATGGCAAAGAACACAGTCATTCTATAGCAACAAGCTATAGAATGGGGAAAGATTTTTACCCAGCACATCTATAGATAGAGGATTCATATACATAATATATAAAGAACAAAAAACTGGACATGAAGAAAAGAAACAAATTAAAAATTGGGTACAGATCTAAACAGAGAGTTCTCAAAAGAGGAAACTTAAATGCCTGAAAAATACTTAAAGAAATGTTCAACATCCCTAGTTATCAGGAAAATGCAAATCAAAATTACTTTGAGTCTCAATCCTACACCAATCCAAATAACTAAGATCAATAAAAAATATGACAGTTCATGCTGATGAGGATGTGGAGTAAGGGAAACACTTATCCATTGCTGGTAGGAGTGCAAACTTGTACAGTCAGTATGGAAATTAGTGTGACAGTTCATCAGGAAGCTGGAAATAGATCTACATCAAGATCCAACTATATCACTTCTGGGCATATACCTAATGGACACTACATTCTACTACAGGGACACTTGCTCATCCATGTTTATTGCTGTTCTACTCATAATAGTCAGAGATTAGATACAGACTAGATGTATATCAAAGTATAAATGAATAAACAAAACGATGTACATTTACACAATGATTTTTTTAATGAATACTTTTAATATTCATTAAAAATGAAATCATGAACTTTCCAAGTAGATGGATAGAGTTAGAAAAAAATCATCCTGAGTGAAGTTAAAAAAACAAAACAAAAAAAACCTATGATACAAACACAAAAAGACAAATATGGTATGTATCTGCTTGTATGTAGATGTTAAATGTTAAGTATTCAATAATCAGGCTACAATTCACATAACCACAGAGCCTAGGTAAAATGTAAGGGACTGGGAGGGGTGGAGTGGGAGATGAATCTCCCTAGGAAAGGGAAGTCGGTAGTTATGGATATGTGAGGGTAAGGGGAAGGAACAGGGACATAAAATGGGGATGAAGAGTAGGGCAAAGGGAAGGACAGTTAAAATTAATAGCTTTTTAATGGGTCACAGAGAAACTTAATATTGTAGAAGTTTCCTAAATTATATACATATATGAAAGAAATCTAAATTGAATCACCAAATAACAGAGGAGGCAAATTTCAACTAGATAAGTCACCAAATGAAACCTCCAGTTCCAGAAATGGGTTCTATCTAATCCAGTTTTTGGTAAAAGGAACCTCATAGAAACCCTTAAACAACCCACGCCATTGCCAAACCTATTGGTTGTTCTTCACAAGCTGATGGTAAGGCCATCTGACTGAGGACAGCATTTACACAACTCACTGAACACAGACAAGTTGAGCTGGTGTCTACAGAGAGCGTTTACTCCTAACCTACCGATGTTCTTTGTACTGAAAGGTACTATGCATGCTACCAAAGGAGAAAGGTAAATAGGACCCCAGCTACAATCCTTTGATCTACAATGGTGACCTGCCTGTAAGAAGCACTATGGTACAAGCTTGTGTAAGTAACCCATCTAATTGGATTTAAGGCCCACTCCATGAAGAGAAACCAGTACCTGACACTGCTTGGATCTGTGAGAACCCGAGAGAAGATAGGCCAGGAACCTAGGGAAAAAACAAATAATCCTACTGTTCGGCTAGAGGAATGTAGCAATACAATGACTTCTAAGGACATTCTGCTACACTCCTAAATCAGTTTTTGTTCAGCCATCATCAGAGAAGCATTCTCCTGCAGTAGATGAGAACAAATACAGAGAACCACAACTAGAAAATATGCAATGAGTAACCTTGGAACATTCAGTCCTAGAAGAAATGTATCCAATAAATGCCCCCTTCAGGGCTCAGAGAACACTGTGGAAGAGGAGGCAGAAAGTTTGTTAAGAGCCAGAGAGGATTGAGGACCCCAAGGACACTAAGCCTGCTAAATATAGCAGGGCAGATGCATATATAAATTCACAGAGACTGTGGCATCATGCACAGGGCCTGCACAAGTTTGAGCCAGATGGGGCCCCAATGATGAGAGAGGAAGTGGACACAAGCCCTCATCTCTAATCTAACTGATAACCACTTGCAAATGAAAAATTAGTTTTCTCCAACCTAGCCTCATTGCATGGACAAACCACTCTTAAGGGCAGGCCCCATGCCCAGCAGTAGATAGCCAACACAACAAACTCAATGGCATTTTTGAAGGTTCATAATCTTAGAATGCTTTGTCAGGGTTTTTCTTCTGTTTGTTGTTATTGTTGTTTGTTTGCTTTATTTTGTTTTGTACCTTATAGATCCTTTGCATATACTTCATGGTTCCCCGTTTTGTGTTTCTGTGGGATTTCTATGTGTTCAAACATGCTTGTCTCTGAATCTACCGCATCTATGGCACCCAACGTGGGGCAAGAGTTTCCACCTAAAACCTGAGAAAAAAGATTCTAAAACGGAGCTAAAAACAGTTCCTAGTTGTCTCTTTCAAGTTAGCAGCAGCCTGCCGGTTTGAGCTACTGGTGGGTTCCTAGCGTGCATGCTCGACCTGCAGTATGGTGGGAATGAGGCCTCTGCAAGTGACACATTAAGCTGTGTGGTGGATTTAGCCTTTGCTAGTACAAAACAACAACAAAAAAAAGAGGTTTCTGGGCTACACGCTGCTTTGATAGAAGCATAGACCCACTATTTCTGAAAGTTGATGGCTCCCAGAGCTGGCAGAAAACTTATCACTGCCATGTTGGAAAGCTAAAGTGGGCGGAGTCAGCAGCACCAGTGCTGTTTCAGGCTTAGAAGGCTGCAGTTCAAAGCAATAGGCTCAAGCTAATATAAAAAAGTAAGCCACATAAAGATGGCTACCACACAAAGAATCTGGATTATGTTCTCTTTGAAATTCGTAACTACAAAAAAAATTTGATTGTAAAAGCTGTTGAGTTATGCCAAAATGTATATTTTAAAGGTACCTTGACTTCAAAATTTGCATGTAAGGATGTGTTACTTTGGAAAGGAGACTCTGCTTTTGTTTCCACAGAAAGCCAGAGGCTATGGATTTGTTCCAGATTAAGATACATCAAGTTTGACCAGCCAAGACCACCTGAAAGGTCTCCAATGACACCATGGCCCAGATGATCCAACATCCAGAACCATTTCAAGGCAACTGGCTCAGACGATACACCCTCATGGACTACTCCATAACCCTAAAATATTCTTTATGTCCCCATAAGATACAGCGCCCCCCTCCAGCAGGAAGTGGTAAGAGAAGCTACGCCCAAATTCCCAAATATACCAAGCTAACTTTAGAGATATGTAAAGGTTAAAACCTTCCTTTTTAAGAAAAGAAAAGGGGAAGTTCTGTGGGATGGTCTGTATGTCAAATGTGTTGCTGATTGGTCAATGAATAAATCACTGATTGGTCAATGGCCAGGCAGGAAGTACAGGCGGGACTAACAGAGAGGAGAATTGAGAGAACAGGAAGCTGGGTGTGGGAGACACTGCCAGCCGCCATCAGGACAAAAAAGATGTAAAGTACCGGTAAGCCACAAGCCACGTGGCAAGGTATAGATTAATAAAAATGGATTAATTTAAACTGTAAGAACAGTTAGCAAAAAGCCTGCCACGGCCATACAGTTTGTAACCAATATAAGTCTCTGTGTTTACTTGGTCGGGTCTGAGTGGCTGTGGGACTGGCAGGTGAGAGAGATTTTCTTTGACTCTGTCTTCTGTTTGTTTGTTTGTTTGTTTGTTTTGCTCTATTTTGGTTTGTTTGTTTTTATTTTAGTTTATTTTTAGAATTTTTAGATGCCTGTGTGTATTCTAATGACAGAGAAAGGGTATGGATTTGGGTAGGTTGGGAAACGGGGAGGATCTGGGAGGATTTGGGAGAAGGGAATGTATAATCAAAATACATTGCATAAAAACTAGTTTCAATAAAAAAATTGAAAAGGAATATAAATTTATCTTCCTAGAAACAGAACAGCATGTGATAAATCCCTGATATATCTTAGATAGAAGTTGATATTATCCTCAAAAGTATCAGGAAGCAATGGGGATTGTCAAGTGCAGAGAGATGAAGACACCAAAGTGCTGCCTGGGTCCCTGCAGTCCCAGGGCAGGCAGGCACCACTACTAGGAACAAATAAGTGACCCAGAGGTGAGAAAGAGCAAAGCAGTGCTGCATGGGCTAGAAAGAGAGGTGGAAGTGGAGATGTGATGGTAGTGACAGGTGAGACAGGGGGCTGACCTCTCCATGCTGTTGTCTCCCAGTAGGTTTTGCAGGATGGTGTACAACATCCCGGAGCTTAAGCAGGTGCAGACTCATCTCCTGAACCTGTGGCTCAGCTGTAGCATCTCTCAGCTCTGTGGAAAAAGGAAGGCCAGAGATGAGGAAAGTTTCACTTTTTAGATTGGACCTCCCGAAGGACCACCATGGTCCTCAATGCAATGAGAGGCCACGTTGGTGTTGGTGGTCCGCGCTGCTTCCCCAGGCCATGAAGAAACCTGGGATCCATTTGGACATACCTAGCTGCCTGATGCCTTGATGATGTCCTTGGGCTTTTCTGCCTTGGGGAGCCATGCTGATGTGAGCGGCTTGTTTAACCACCTGAGACCATGTTAGGTATCCTGGTCCATGTAACTGGTGAAGGCCATGTGAGGGTCAGTGGTCCTGATATAACCAAGAGCCATGTTAATGTCTGCCACCCATGATACCACCCACACCCATGGTCGAGGCTGCTGCCTGAAGCCTTGGGCACTGAAGAGCTGGGCTCCATCCACCACAGGGCCCTCCTTAGCTGATGGCTTCTGGCAAATGGATGCAGGCAGAAAAAGACTCATCTTTCCTGGGGCAGGGCTGGTCACTAGGAATTTGACCATGCTCCAGTGAATGTATAGATAACACAAAATGGACTTGTTTTTTTTCTTTTTCTTTGGTTGGGGGACATCACAGGGGAGGGGGTGGACATGGGAAGACTGGGAGGTGAGTGTGATTGGGGCACATGATTAGATTTCCAAATAATAAATAAAAAATTAAAGAAAATAAAAATATTTAACCTCATTTAATTTAGTGTGTGTGTACATGCATGGAGGTTAGAGAACAACTTGGGGAAGTCATTTGTGTCTTTATAACATGTGGGTTCTGGGGTCTTAACTCAGGTCATTACGTTTGGCAGCAAGTGCATTTATCTGCTGGACCATCTTATTGGCCCCAAATTTACTAACAAATAAAAAAGCAAAGGCATTAGATAAAAAAAAAGGGGGGAGGGATTGTACACAGTTGGGAATTACAATTTACCTAAAGGAAATCCCATTATACTTGATTTTCCCCCTGGGTCATTCTCCTAAATATGAGAAAATAATAATAAAATTAAGGAAATAAAAGATAAGACTGAATCAAGATTCCAAATCTTCCAGGAATTTGTGCTAGGAGAGAAACACATAAAGTAGATTACTCTACTGATTGGTCGCCCAACCTGCATTGCTCTACATTCTGGCCTGGCACTCCAACCAACTCTACACTTGTAAATAAGTTTCATATCCTATTTGTTGAAATGTGGCAGTTGAAACCAAGATAGCCAGGCTGGAAGCTAGAGGTGTTTGTCTGACATGGTCCTACCAGGTTGCTGCCCACAAGGCCAAAGCTTCATTGTAGGAATTCGGTCTTTGTCTTCATTTATTCATTAGTTACAAGATGACTAAAAATCATTATTGTCTCTTTCTTCATTTAGTAACAAATGTATTTATAGCATCTACTGTATGTTGACCACTTTGTCTAGTAATTAGAAACAGAGAACAAAGACAGATTTTGCATTCCTAGGAGTACATATAGGTTGAGGTGCGAAGATCATACCCATAAATGAACTTAAATATACAAAATTCGACATTAGACCTAGGCACAGCCTGATACACTCCTCCGAGATACACAGGGGAACAACTGATTCTGTTTGCAACAATGGGGTGATTGGAGAAGGATTTGCAAAATATGTGATAAAAGGAGTCATAGAAGACACTTCAGGAATACGCCTGGAGTAAAAGAAATTACAGATGGAGCTGAACACCATGAACAAAGTAAGACACATATGAGAAGCCATGTCATCTCAAGAGTATCACAGCAATAAGTAGGAATATTGAGTACTTATTATTAGCTTGGCAATGTGTTAAACATTTTACATTCTCAGTCCTATTGAATGATTCCTTTGGCACTTAGTTTTTCTTATTCCAAAGAAGAACTCCAAGTCCATGAGCTAGGAAGTAAGACGAACTACTAAATAAACATTGACCTGACCATCACTAAATCTCCATTCTCAGATGCTCCACTCTGCTGCCCATTCATTTTCTCGATGCAGAAACTGTGACCTGGAAGTGAATTTCTTTGTTGAATAATCATTGATTTTTGACCTTTGGCTCTGAATCTTGAGCACTTCCGGGCTCTTTCCCTGTTATTTTGTGCAGAAGCTCATTAAAGAGACTTCAGTGTGAAGACAGACGTGTTTTCCTTTGTTTTGTTTTGTTCTGTTTTCCCAGAAGTCGGTGACAAGAACTGAGTATACAGCCTCAAAAAAGAATGTTACCCTTCTGGTGTGAATAGATATATCAATACAAACTGCCTCTCAGTTTTTGCATCATGAAAGGGAAAATACACTTAGCCAGAAAAGTTTCAGGAAAAAATGAAAGGGAAACAAAAATAGTGAGCTGATGGAAGAATGATGGGAAAATCTTTAGGGAGGAAACAGGAAGATAAAAGTAGTGGGTTTTAGGTTGAAGCAGAGGAAGCACTAGGGAGTTGAGAGAGAGGGTAGGCAGAAACATGGGATGTATGTATGCTGGAAATAAAGAGGACAGTGACAGCCTCTGTTATAGAGGCAAATAAAACATACACCGACAAAGGCTGCTTTGTCTGAAATCCACAGAGGAGAAAAGGGAACGGTATTGTACAAAATTAATAGAGGCAAAAGCATAGAGTTGAGACTGGAAGTCCCATTGGTGATGGAGAAAACATCCCAAAAAGAACAGTGCATGACTGAGGAAGTTACAACGTGAGGAGAAAAAAGTAGAAGGATAAAGTAGGAAAGCCAAGAGGCTTAGCAAAGAAGCCTTGAAGGATGGAAACAGAATCTCACAGACAGAGGAATCACAAGCCACAGCAGGAAGCATATAATACTAATAGAAAACAAGAGATGTGGCCTCTGAAGGAGTAAGTCGCAACAGCCCCAGCAGAAGGAAGGAATGTGGACTGAGAAAACAAATGATTTAGGAAGGATCTTGGGGCTGATACCTAATGTTGCAGATCATTTGTAAAGTGCCCTATATTTTACATAAAGTCTCTTTGTCCATCCTTCTAATTGTCAAGTATGCTTTGACATATGTTACAGATGCATGAGAGAATGTGTCCATTAAGGTCCTGCAGGTATTTGTGCTGGAAATTTTGATGATGTCTGACTAGAGTGTGCTTAAGCCCAGACTCACCTTTTCACTTTTGTCTCCTGCAGCCATCAGGATTGTTGTATTATATGCCAGTGACTAGAGTAGGGCAATTAGCATTAGGGAATTCCAGTAGCAGCTTGTATTCATCACATAAAATAGCTAAGGAAAACCCCTGGGAAGAGGGCAGTGAGTAGAACAGCTCACAAGGCTGATAGGACACAAAGAGAAAGAAGCCCTATGTTGCAGGCTTTCTCCTTCCCCCTTTTTATTCCATTTGGGTCCCCAATCTGTGAGTTTATGCTATGCCTATTCAGGATCATCTTCCTTCTTAGTTAATTCTTTTTGGAAGAACTTCTGTAGAAGTGTACATAGGTGAACTTAAGTAATCTTCTAGGTGCTTCTCAATCCAGTCAACTGATGGTCAAGATGAAACACCACACTTCCTCTTGAATATTAAAATACAAAAATGCTAGGGTTAAAGAATATATAATTACTTTTATAGTCTCTGGAACATAGAGATCATTCCATAAACCTTGGTTTTCATGACTACATTTACCTAGAAATTGGATCTAGAAAAGTAATGCAACATATGTGAGCAAGAAGAAAGATTTTGGGGGCTGGAGGTCTGGCTTAGTGGTGAAAAGCATGCACTGCTCATGCAACAGACCCAAGATCACTTCCCTCACTATATGTTGGACTACTGACACCTATCTATAATTCTGGTTCCAGGGGACCTAATGGTCTGAACTCCATGAATACCTACACTCACATGGATATAACCCCACATACACATAAACACATAACTAAATATGCATGCTAAAAATAAATATTTTAAAGACAAGAAATTTCAAAAGACAATGGAAGAGATACTCCACTTTCTTATTAACAAAAAAAATCATATATGTCTTTCCCCATTCCAACCAGTGTCAGTGGATATTTTGAAATTAGCCATAATGAGTATTTAGCAAAAAATTGATAAATACCACTATGGCCTTCTACTCTCCATTTCTCATGTCAAGAGAGCTGGTGACTAAACACTAATGACTTTGCCCACATCTGTTTAGGAAAACACAGGACTTTAGTTACATTAAAAGAAAGGGCAAATGGGGTGTTTTAAAATGAATTTTGATATCTCCCAAACATATATAAAAAGCCATACTTGTAGAAATAAGATCACTTTATTGCAAGAGTAAAATGGATTTATTTGGAAAAATGTCTTAACTATTTTATGGAAAATGAAGATGTTGAAGGTGACTATGTATGACCTACATATATGAACTTGGAATTGGACAGAAAGACATTCAGACACACTAATATTAAATCCCTAAAGCATGCCGGGTGGTGGTGCATGCCTTTAATCCCAGCACTGGGAGGCAGAGGTAGGTGGATCTCTGTGAGTTCAAGGCCAGCCTGGTCTAGAGAGCGAGATCCAGGAAAGTCACAAAGCTACACAGAGAAAACCTGTCTCATAAAACCAAAAAAAAAAAAAAATCTCTAAAGCATGGTAGCACATTGCAGAGAACAGTTCCTAGAGTAAGCTTGTGAACAATCAATCCTGATTTTGCCATTTGCGAGGAACTTAGGAAAATCAATTAACTTATCTGCTGCAATTTTGTCTATGAAATGAGGGTAATAACAGTTCTTCTCAGAGGAAGTCCATAGGACCCAGTGAATCAATGCAGGTCAAATGAATTGCACAGTTCCGGTGACATAAAGATTATTTTCTACATGTTGGCTTGTAGAAGAACAACTAGCTAGAAACTGGACCTAGGGAATTGATACTATGTATGTGAAGCAAGAATAGAGATAGAAAGTATTAGAGAAAACAATGCCTCTATCTAATTATCCCAGGGTATTAATTGAAACAAAACTTTCAAATGCTAAATTAATAGAGCATGGTATATATGGGGTATTAGAGCTCCTGTTAGGATAGAAGAGGCCTGAAAATACATTGTGGAGATATATATGTTTCCCCTGTGGTATAAGGTAGATGGGCTTTGTGCTTCTTCAATCTGCCTAGTCTTAAAATCACCTGGTAGCTGTAAATGAAAACATGTTTCCTGTCCTTAAATTAGAAGGTATCTTGAAGTCCTTCTGAAGAACTGGGAACTACAAATATCTTCCTTTTCAAAGAGGATTTTTCAAACCTTCTCTACTAGATTTTGATGATCAGCTGGGATTGGTGGCCACTGAACTAACTCTCTGGCTTGAATTTATAAACCAAATCTTGCAATATTTTGCACCTAAGTTCAGGCCAGCCCCACATGAGTCCTTATATCATCGTGTAGGAACAACCTTTAAAACATTTGGGGGCCTCACTGACAATTAAGGCTGAGCACAGTTTGGGATTATTGCCTTCTAGGGAGATTCTTTCCAACTTTGGTCAGGTATAGTTCTCATGATAACTTTATGTTGAAACCACTCCTGGACATTCGACTGTAATGTTCATCTATCCCTGTTTTCTCTAAGTCAGCATCATGAAGTGTCTACTTCATATATAAGTCAGCACATGACTTGGCATCTTGAAAATGCTTAGAATACCTGCAGTAGAGCTCAGTAGACCACA